GCCAGCGGCGTGCGGCGGCGAGCGGGGGGAAGGAGCGGGTCGCCGCCGCCGGCGGCCGACTGCCGGGTTTTTTTTCAGAAGGACAGCGACAGCGACGGAGACCGGGCAGAGCTCACGGCGGAAGGCGAGCATTTACTCGCAGGCAAGCGCGCGCGTTCTGGGCCTCGCGGCGGCGGCGGCCGAGCATTAAGCAAACATCATGTGGGGCAGGTTTTCCACCAGATATGAGACTTTTATTTGAACAGCGATACAAGCGCATGTTCCCAGAAACCTTATCCGCACCTGGAACATGAAACCCCGTTCTATTGAATCCCGGAAGCCAGCCAGAAGAGTGCTATATGTTAATAAACCGTCTGCGGTTGCGTATCCTTTGCTTAGTCTGTTAACCGGCGCGACGTCAAAGGCTCCTGAAAAACCGACCCTCGGAGCGGATTCGTCGTGGTGGCGAGCCGACCGCGCACACTTCGGAAATGGGAAGACCCGCTGCCATCACCAGCGCCACCGACAAGGAATCAAGCGCGGCTGCGGTCCCGACTTGCGCCGCCGCCTCTCGTCCTCCGACTAGAACCGTGCCAGCTGGGCTGAAACTCTAACTACTAAGCGACGCGTCAGTCCTACTCATGCCGCCCTTCTTTGGATTTTTAGGGAGTCCAAAAATATAACACCTAATATTACTCCCTGTTAATTAAACCATAATATTACCTGTTATTTCCTGAAAATACGAGGAAAATAACGAATCGATAGTTTGCCAAAAATTCAAACCCAATGTGCCCCCCCACACGCGTACGACATTGACGCCTCCGTTTAAAATAAACAGGCAGGCTTCATCGGATTTCTCCCCTGCCTGGGAGAGCTGCGCCCTAGATGTGGTTTGTCAAAGGTTTGAAGGACGAGCTTAAGGGACCAAAGAGCCGTGAAGGATGAGGGGTCGTCGGCGTCCGTGGGGACGCCCGCGCCCGCCCAGCGCAGCGCCTGCGGCCGACTGCGCCGCCCCGCCTCCGCGCCCTGCGCGCTCAGCTACGCCGCCGCCCATGTGCCCCCACACGGTACGACATGACGCCGTCGTTTAAATAAACAAGGAGGCTTCATCGGATTCTCCCCTGCCTGGGAGACGCTGCGCCCTAGATGTGGTTGTCAAAGTTGAGGACGAGCTTAAGGACCAAAGAGCCGGAGGTGAATCGTGGAATAGTGTATACAATTGCGATTATTTTATATCTAATTGGATTAATGTTTTCCATCAAACATCGGAGATTTGGAACTCTTGCCCAATGCTGTCATCGTATTGCACAATCTCCTTACCAACAGGTAAACAGCATGGAGTCTGCCTCCATGCACGTCGGGCTAAAAAGGCAGCAATACAATGGCAACCGTGTTCAGGGCGCTGCGTCTAGCGGAGAATCAACAATCCAATGTAAACAATAGTTCGCCTTAGTTCAAATGAATTAAGAATATGTCAGAGGAAAGATCTGTCGCACAGAGACGGCGACGGCGTGCGCGGAGGAGGAGGCGGGTGCGGCAGCGGTGGCTGCACGCACGCCCATCCCCCTCCCCCTGCCCCACCCCCTGCCTGCCGCCGCGTGCTGCGGCGGCGACGCGGCGCTTGCGGAGGCGGGCGCAGCGCACGACGACGCGCACAGGTGCGTGGCCTTCACTCGGCTCGACTCGACTTGACTCCCGCGTAAGCCACGGAATGTGACGCTCAGTGTTTTTTTAATCTTCATTCTGTCCAAATTCATTGGCCTCATCGGTAACGCTTGAAGGTAATGACCCCCTAATCCTGTCGAAAGGAACAAGCGTCAAGATGGTCCCACGATCTGCGTCGGGTAACGTATTTTAAGTTGAAGTTCAAGATGCATCAACGGGCTACTTTGACGTGAAGGTTCGGGGAAGAATGCGGACTGTCTTGTAGGTGTGTAGACCGAGAGTGCGATTTGATACTCCGGATGTCTCTGTATGTCCTTCAAGCGCCATCAGATGGCAGCCAGAAGGGATTGGGCACTCTTAAATGAAGTCTCCACTATGCTATTATTACACACAGACAATTTATACTACTAAGGTCATCGGTACACCGACAGCAAGGCGTCCTCCTCTATCTCCACCGCCACTTTGTCTCTTCGCGTTATAAAGATTGTTAGCTAAAAATACTAGCTTTCGGCACTGCACGAATTCTTTGACAATATATTTCCCTCTGTGAAATGCTAAAGTAAATGTTACCGTTTCGCTCTGTTTCGCAACCTTGTTGAAAGACTTTGAAGACGAACAGTTGCAACTAACGTCCAAGTTTTACCAGCTAATAACTAATACCTTCAGCGAACATTGTATGAAAAATGATATATTTTGAGAGTAGCCATTTCAAGTCACGAGCCGACCACGATGTCGGCACAGCATCAGAGTACAGAGTCTTATTAATGTATTTACAATAATTATGATTACCTGTTATCAAATTTTGACACTCTTAAATTTAGATGTACTTTAATGAGAGTGAGAGAATAAAAAATATTATGGACAATTATTCTTATAATGAAAGATACGTAGTTGTCGTTCACAATGAATCATTCCTTGGAGAGTACGTGGTAATAATTACGTAAGATGACCTATCTTGAACTTCATATGCCTTGTAAATTACAGTATTAGCTCAATTATCGAAAGATGTCCATTTCAGCCTCTCCTATTAGAATAAAATAATATCTCCTGTTAGGATAAAATAATCTAGGTGTATCCAGGATTCTAACAGATTGTTCATTTTTTATCTTTAAATCGCAAATTTGGCTCTTTGAAGGGCCATTGTTTTGTCAGCATCTCTTTACATTTCTCCCTCAAGCTGAATTTTAAAGAATACTTTGAGTTCTCCATCTTTTCATATTTAAAAATTATTACTTGAACTACGTAATTGGGTAGATGTGTGTACTTTATTACTGATGTGTCACTAGATTACTTTATATGTGTAGTTGTCACTCTATTTTCATAGTTCTGAGCAGAATGTAACAATTTATCAGTGCTTTAACGAACACACGTTTAACTGATCCGCTCATGCCAGCTAAACAACTGATTCTTTTGCACGCGATCGCACGAGTTAACTTCACACAAATGAGAAGGTTAAATTCCCAACAATATTAATTTACGTATTTGCAAATGCGTGTATATCTACCAAATATAATACGGTGATAGAAAGTACAATTCATCCACTCTACAAAACAATCTTAAATTAAAAATGTTCGGAAATACATATAGAAATAAACCATGATTATTATAGTCCGTCCATATTAATAAATTTTCAAGTAAATTGTTTAATTTTTTCCACATACAGGTAATTTTTATTTGTACTCACTTTGGGAAACAGTAATTTGGTTGAGTTTTTCAGCGGCTTGGATTGACGGAAAATTCACCTGAAAGAAAAGAAACACGTTTAAAATACTGCACATTATCTTTGCAAAACAGGTTTAGAAAATAAAAATATTTCAAGTGAAACACAGTTTGAGATACGGAAAAGTGTATCATGACAACATAAGAGTGACACTCATTGCTCTCTATCCATTACGGTACAAGTATATTTCGCCATTCTACCGCACGTTCTGTAGTTAATAGATAAAGAACAAGTATATTTGTACCATAATGAGCATACCTGTAACAGCCCTATTACAATACTGATTTACATTTAACCACATCGCATGAAATAATCGCATGTTAGTAATGTGTTACAGCATTATTTGGCAGAACTTCAAGTGCATGAAAAAAGTTCGAGAGTGTAATAATTGTGTTCAAAACCACACCAGTAAATTATCAGAAAAAGCCTTCTTCGTGTAATCAAGAAACAGACAAATTCGTGTTGATGCAATGCCATATGGCAAATGATAAGGTGAGATAAAATTTACACCTGCTGGCCAAATGTGTCACATATTCTAACGATGAGAATGACTAAATAATGAGTATGGCAGCAGAATGCGACACTAGAAAATCTTATGCAAATATCCATTTGTATAATCTGCTTCTAATGCGTTTGGTCATTTCATAAGCACTGGCAGAATTTTCATTACGTCGAAAATGACTCTAGTCATGGTGGTACAGACAGCTCCAACATAATTGGTGCGTTTTTATTTATTTCTAAGCGTCTATCTACAAATAGTATATAATACTCGTATTTAATTGTGTCCATTTTTTCTTTATAGATTTTTTTTTAAATTAAAATTATATTTATATATCCAGGACATAATATTTATTTAAAGACTTTTTTTCTAAAAATATACGTTCCGAGCCATTGAGATTCTTCCCTTCAAGTATTGGAATATTTATACATTTGAATATGATAGCATAGTATCAATGTATTGAGGATATTACGAGCTTTGCGCCAGAGGTCAATTACAACCACGCAGCAATGAAATATGAGTGCAAACGTCATATCAGTGCCGCTCGTCCTAATGGGCAGCTCAGTGGAGTGGGGCTCTTGCCCTCAGCCGCCTCCACGGCCATCCTCGACTCTCAAACAATAGACGAGGAACGTTTTAATACTCTCCACACTCGATTCCACTCGAAGGCCGCGGAGCTAATGATTATCGAGACCCGGGAATGAAACCGAAAAACTCAATTCTATGATCCACAATGTGGTCCGTTACGAAGGGCTAGCAGTTCGCAAGGATTATTGAGTAGGCCTTGCCAATATGTATTAGATAATACAAGGCCGTTTTTTACGCTATGAATCTATAATACAAAAAGTAAGCTGACGTGAATGGTCAAGAGAAGTTTTAAACCCCTCAGCTTGGTACTCGAAACGAAAAAGTTTGAGAAAAGCATAAAAGAGTCTAATCCAGATGCTTCCGCATTCTGGATTTTCCGCTCTCTGGAAATCCAATTTATGCATATTGCACAAGAGGGAATGCGTAGGAGAGTTGCTAACAGCGATTAAACATAAAACGTTCGCACAATTACGAGCTCGAGCTTTAAAAACTCCAAAGCAACAGCAATTAGTTATCGTCTGAGTCACTGAACAGCGCTGAAGACCTAGCAATCGTCATGCACTAAGTAGAATTAACAACGATCATGAAATGCGTTTAAGATGGGAACCCAGGGAGCTGAATTCCGGCGAAAGAAAATAGTTATGATAGCAGAGATACTTCATACTCATCAAAAGTACATCAACACAATCACAAGTACGTGAAATTTAACGTCTCCTTATGTCCCAAATTATCTATGGCAAAATAGTAGATCATGCGCCTTTTTATTCTTCATATGTTTAGATTCTAAATTACTTTTAGTTTGTGTTGCTGTTACTACCTTCGATTGAATTAGAGTCAGCCATCTTTTGAAAATCTACGTCTAGCCGATAATTACGAATTGAACCGTCTGTATCCTACATTCTCAATCCTTCTCACAGTAAACATTTCTACACTTCAGGAGCCAGAGAACGGTAGCAGAAACAGAGGTTTATACGTCCCATCTTGCTCTCATGACCAAATGACTGATGAAATACCAAACGTGAGCCTCGGCTAAAAGTAAAACACTCTCTACATGAAAATTCGAAGATGTGGCCTAATTGAAAGCAAATTAATGGGAAAGGTAGCAGGGCTAAGGGTGGTAAGGCGAGGGTTGTATAAAATGAGCAGTAATTTCGTGTACCCAGGTGTGACAAGTGATAAGGGTAGTGCTCCTCCTCCCTTAGATTCTGCGCCGACCGACACGATGGCTCGCGGGTTTTCTTCCTCCAGGTCACGCAGTCAGCGGAGCACCGCCCCAGTCGGCTCTAGCTCAAAGCTCCCTACTGTTCTCCCGATGTGTGAAGTGTATTGCATGTAAGCAAGAATGTGTAAGGGGAGAGGTAGGGACTCGACCCATGGCCCAATTGTACTGCTTCCATGATACTGCTCCGCCATTGGCCTGATATCGGTTTGAGGAACCACAAATACTACCTTTCAGAGCAACCGGATTCTAGAATTCCTGTTTAGGCAGCGCAGCGGCCGAATCCGGCTCCCAGTGGGAGAAGCCGCAATGCACTGCCGTCGTGTGTCGTCAGCTCTGCGAGCAGCGCGAGCACGGCGTCTTCGTCGCGCGCGGGGGCGGGGCCTGGGCCTGGCCCGGG